AATATTAAAGTTATTTTAAAGTCATATGGAAATCTTAGGCAAAAGTTAGAGAAAATTAGGGTTATATAACCCAAGTGCTTGCAGCTAGCCCATATATTCACGTTAACAGGTGTAGAAATTACGCTAAATTTTGAAAATTATTCTTCTCATCTCCACATTCAATGATCATGTTTCACTACTTCATGGTAGAACAAAGCAAACTACTTTTCAGTATATTTGACCCTTAGTGGCCAGCCGGGTGTCACGGTGGCTCCATAAATGGGATAAGCTGGTTTTAAAGAATAAAGCACTGGTGCCCCATGATCATCCTAATCCTTCTTCAAACCCATTCCTACTTCGGCTAAATTTTTACCTCAAAGCAGGTGGTGACTCGGGATGCACAACATATGTCCAGGACACGTGGGACAACCTCACAACTTGATTGACAGATCTACATTACTTGGCTGCCACTTTTCACTAATGCTGGACAATATTCCCACTGTGATTCTGACATAAGTGAACAATACTGTGAAGACACTTGCAATCAAAACCCTCTAATCTCTTCATATCTTCTATATTCAAAGGCCATATCTCACAACCGTATAATAGGGGACAGTAGATTCCAGCGGAGTATACTTATTCTCTAGTAGATAGTGGGACATCTCGTTGAAGCCATAGATGGTATGAGTTGACCAGCGCCAAACAGGCCTTTTGTATCTGAGTTGAGATTGCGTCAGAAACTGAACTATTTGAGCTGATGGAACTTGCAAAGTAAATGAAGTCATCAACTAATTTAACCACTCTACTCCCCATCCTTAAACTGTGAGTAGCTGAAGATCAGTGCTGAAGCACCAACTCAGACATTGACAGAACGATTGTTCCTCGACGTCCTACCACGTTGTATACGTCTGTTAGATATTACTGCGACTAAAAGCGGCTACTGTTATTGTATCAATAACTAACACTATAGCAAGAGTCTGAGGGTGAAGTCAAACTTCTAACTCTATGTGGGTTAAAAGAATTAGGATGCTTCTTCAGAACATCGAGAATTCCAGACTGATTTCTTTTCACTCTGAGTGCGAAGGGTTACTAAAGATCGGCTTTGAAAGTGGGACATTTCTTCCTACCTCACAGACTTCGCAGTACATGGGTTAAATTATTGCCTTAATTATAGATGCAACACAATTGTATCTTTAAAAGAGACCTCTACCAAGGCTGTGTATGACCGGCTTCAAGTAGATGTCCTTTGAAATCTACCTTCGATTAGATCAGTCTTTCTAATCCAATTTTTTGTTTAAGTGTTTCGAAACAGTAAATACTTAGATTATGGGTAGCCAAAAAGTGTCAGATTCCCTCTTATTTACGTGAGCACTCGATTTCTTTCTAAACATTATCGATTTCCTGGCTTGCCGCTTTGTAAATTTTCTTCATATTCCTTTGTTAAAATGGCCAAATCACCTCACCATTCCTTGACTTCGATTCTGGTTCTGGAAATAGCTTCATTGGTCTCCTAAAACTGCACATCAAACTACACAGTGACCTTTTGTATATATGTATGTGCTCTTCGTTAAACTGGACACCATGAATGTATGGTGTACTTTTAAGACACATGAAGTGAACTCATAGATTATTATTCACTTGACCTAACCTGGTTGGTATGGTAAATACGCAAAATTGACTAAAATCTGTTGAGCTGCAATTTGGATGAAATAAAAGATGGGTTACGCAAAGAACTGTTTAACCTCTTACTGAAGGTAGGACATCTTGATGTCATCATTGTAGGAGGCTACTTCAACTTATTTACACATATGATTCAGCACTGATCAACCTTGTGAACTATCGTGGAGTAGGCAATGTGCCACACCTACTGTTTTAGGTTTGATGATACTACGTGGCTGCCCAAACTTCGGTAGGTAGAGGAATGTTTGAAACCATGACTTACTGGCGGAATGTCAACTGACCAAACCGAAGATCCACAGCTCTACTTAAACACGCAGGTAGGAAGCTTAATGGAGATAGAAAAGTATTTAAGTGTTACCATCAGAATTCCGATTGAACGAATAGATAATGGTGATTAACTGCTACAAATGTACTGAGTTAGCCATCTATTTCTGGCCATCAGGAATTTCAGAAATAAGGCAAAACATTATGTGATGTGAGATCCACTGACGACAACTCAGGAGTGAACACAGATAGACCACATGGCTATCGCTGGAAGTCACTGGAAAATTGCGATTGCGTTTGAATAGTGATCACATACTGGCTTTAATATACCGTTGTCCATATCTAAATGGAAGTAGCAAAACTAGTGAGTTTGAAACTTAACCATAGTAACATCGACCAGATCTTCATCCTTCGCCAAGTCTTTGAAGTTAGGTACACTTACGAGTGTCTGACGCTGACTGTATTTGTCGACTTTGAGACGTCGATCGAGAGGTATTTCGACAGTCTGACATAAAAATGGGTTCCTGTTGAGTGTGTCACATTGCTTATGTCATATGAGCAAACACCCGTAGATATATTCGAGCCCATGATGAGGTATCAGTTGAGTTTTCTATATCGAATGGTATCCGTCAAGGATTTATACTCTGTCCATTTTTATTCAAGTTTATAATGAGATACTTAAGTTATAGAGCAAAATATTTAAGCAGTAAGATAGAAAACTTATGGAAGGAAATCAGGCGTATGAAGGAAACCTTATTATTGAGTAATTATCCTCTTAAAATGATAGAGAAACATACAGCAAATTGTACGGAACAGAAGAGTAAATAACAAAGACACGGATCGTATACATACTAATAATGATAACAATAGGAAATGAGAATTCAAAGCTCCTCGTCACACGTGAATTCCATCGCTAGGTGTACTGCATTGAACATGCTAAGTATGTTTAACCTGTCCATCTTGTGTACATACAGGATGAATGAATCATGGATTTTTCGGCACTAAAATGGCGATTTTCTGAAAAATTGATCCAGTAGATCATTCTTTAGTTTGTATAGAAAGATTTTTACTGATATACCAACCAGTGGCGAGCCCATTGATACTCCATCCACCTACCTCGATAATTAACTGTTAAATTTGAAGTCAACATTTATGGTACTGTTATGTAACAATTCTCTGAGGCCTTCTACCGGAATTCTAACATTCATAGACTTCGCTTTCAACTGTTCATACATGTAGTTGACCATCTTTACAAGAGGAGCGTCGGTTAAAAAACTTTCAAATTGTCTGTCAGTGGTTTCTAAGTGATGTGGTTCTGTCTATCGTAGAATTTAAGACTTGGGAGCGGTACCTCAGGATATGCTGTTTCCGATCCAATTTACTTGTTACAGCTTGAGACTATGTCTGTTTACCGATGTTCCTCTCGTAGAGATGGTCAACTATATATGTAAAGAGTTGAAGGAGAAGTTATAATTCCGGTAGGTGTTCTTAGAGAATTATTACATAACGGTTAACTATAGAGACAGGTAGATAGAGAATCAGTGGGTCACCATTTGTGCGAAAGGGGATCAGTTGTTGTTTAGTGATACTTGGCGACTCTTGTGCCCAGTGGTCTAGTGGGTTACGTTTCGGCGTTTAAAGCAATGATTAGTACTGGGTTCGAGTCTCAGTGGGGACAACACCACTCACTGGGATGCAGGCACATCTGGCTGACGAGTCCTAAATAGAATGAAACGCTCACTGCTGAATTACACTGCTAGCCATCAAAAAGACCACAACTACTTTTTTCTTGTTTTCCACCTTGTTTTACTTGTATCTTGATGTGTTGATGGGTGGCATGTTAACTTAGACTGTTCACTGCACAGTAATGTCATGCTTTATATTGAATTTTGCTGACTGTGTCACTCATATGTACTTTCTTATCTAGGGAATTGACTGAAATCGGATAGCTACACATTTCAGCTGACAACCAAGTAGACAATGATAACTAATTTGATTTGATAATATGATGAATACTGAATGCTTGTAGGCTTCACAGTCAGTTGTACGAATAACTGCCTTCTCTATACAATACCATAATTCTGATATGGTAATTGGATAAACTCGATGTGAAGTTAGGCGAAGGTGGCTGTTCAGAATTGCTTAGAATTGATGAACAAATCCTTTATGACAAAATGTAGTTATTTGCAAGTTAAGGTTTTATTAATACTGAAAAGCATGACATGTTCAGGTTTATTAACGAGACTGTGTGAAGTAGGTATGGTTTGGCGAACTGAAGTTATTGGTACTGAATGGGTGATGATTGAAGGCGGAATGGAAACCTGGTTCACTGTAGGATTGATTCAATGACCTTCAAGTGACCAGCCTGGCGTTTCACCGTCTGAGCTATATGACCTGCTTACTGACTAGGTCATAACCTCTTGATAATTGAACTTAAGAATTGGTCAACGTTTAGGTCTCTTAGTTCAGTTCATAGAATGTCGAACTGTTAACTCAGAGACCACTGATTCAAACACTGCTGTGACCAAGATTTTCTTTTCACCTTCAATGATCACCAAGTATCAATAAGTTCAGTTTGTCAAATCATGTCTATCCTAGATAGTCTCATTAATAAACTTGAATTGGTCATGCTTTCACACAACCTTGTTGACTTTCCTACTGATTGGTTAGTCATCACGTGCATTGTATGTGAACACTTTAGTAATGATCATACATTGGAATGCTTCTCACGTGAATGACCTGCATTTTAACACAACACTTAAGTTTTGAGGTCAAGTGAGGTCAAATAGCACAGTTTATACTTCAGTCTTATGTGTGTCCGTGTTAGGGTTTTGTCTATGTTACATCGTGAACCACTTTGTTGAAAGTACGATGTGTAGCCTGTTGTCAGAACTGTAAACAGTTAATCCTCTAAGCTAGTTATTCATAAGTGTCATGACATCACTTAACATCGTACACTGGTCTTTTGTGAGTGTCTAGTTCGATGGTGAGAGGTTTGTGCACTGTAAGCTTTCATGCCCCGATTATATACTAAAATACTCTTGTTTTTGAATATTTTTTCCCATTCACTTGTCTAGTACAACTGATGAAGTCGGTAATATTACTGGATCAGTGCATGAATCATTTCTATCCTCATTTTCTCCATTCAATCAATCATTGATTAATTTCGGTCTACCGTCGAATACTGAATCCTTGTATACAACATTTAGTCGTGATATACAAAAGGAATTGTATTCACAATTGAAACAGGAGCATGAAATACGTATGGATATATTACGCTTACAAAAACAGACTTGGTTGTTACAAATGAATCTGTTCAAGAAAATGAAGGTGGAACAAATATCTAGCCTATTCTCTTCACCATGTCTTGCTAATACGAGTAATACTAATTCTTCGAATACTACTACTTCTAATAGTAACAGTATTAGTGGTAGTAATAATAATAATAGTGATACTAATACTACAACCATTGTTCCTGCTAGCACAACAATGACTGCTACTGCTGCCACTGCTACTACTAACACTCCTGTTTCTGCCTCTTTATCAACCACAATGAGTGGAGTAAACGGAACAATCTGTACGGTGATATCCACACCTGCTACCACCGCCATAACATCATCAACAAGTACGTCTACTTTGCTGTCAACTGCCAACGCTTCATCACTATTGAATGTAAAGATTGAGTCAGAGTCTATTACACCGAATCATTCTTTATCACCAATGTTTCCTCACGATGGTCACACTCACCGGAGTGATCTACTGACTAACAGCAACAACAATAACTGTGGTAGACTAAACATAGGAAAATAAACAAAACGATCACTATTTCAGCGAGCTGTTGATCAGCTAAGAAGTTCTTGAAAGAAATTCTTCGATCAACTATATCTGTTCCGAGCTCATCTTATTTTTGTACCGTGTTCAACAAACAAACAAACACACACATACATACAAACATAATTGTTGTACAACAATCAACGTTCTGATTTGATAATTAATCATTATGAAGTTTTACTTTCGTTTTTGCAAGAAAAGCCTTTCCCCAAATTGTGATTTTGTGCTCGTTTATTACTTCAGTAATTCAGTTGGTGGTTCTTGGGGATTTATTGATTTAAATGTGGTTTGCACTATGGATTGACATCAGTTGTAGAAGTGCTGACTCATAGTGTCATCCTATTTTTGGACTCTGCAGTGGTGCATTTCTATTACCCCGCTTGAGATCGAACCCAGGAATATTCAGGGTGGGCGTGTTACTACTCAGTCACTACTGCACACTGTTGATTCTTGAAATAGTAAGACTGGTATCAGATGAAAGCTATTGGACATCCACCTCATTTCCGACTTGGTGCAGCAAACCTTTGACATCAATGAAATGAAGGCTGGTGACGGCCGTATGTGCGTGTTTATTAGTTAGTCACTTTATACTGACAGTGTTACTCCTTATTAAATTCAAAGGATTGAATTCATCAGTATCTGCTGACCCTTTTTGAGAATGTCTGAATATCCTCTCCGATTACATCTTGATTATATTTGTTAGTGCCATTACATGCTGAGCGGTATAAGCCTTTAATTTTAGAAGTGGTTAGATTCGAACTACAACGACTAGATATGCCTAGCGAGTAGTGGTTAAGTGCTCGAAACCATGAGTGGTGAGTTGGATCCTCAGTTTCAGACATCAATAATTCTAGCTGAAGAATCCTGCAAATTATTGAGTATGCTTCCTTTGGATCGCTACTAGTCTCGAGTATTAATATATGAAATTAATGTTGAGCTATATCGTTGCATAGCTCTAAGGAATAGGATTAAATCCTCAAAACAGGATATGAGTGCTTTGAATTGAGACTTTACAGAAAAAGACAAATTAAATATCGATGGTCGAGTAATTATTTCAATGCGGGTAGTTGGTTAGATTCACACTGAAGATCGCGCTACGTTTCACTCTTGTAAAGTCCAATAATGACTCGAAAACCGATCCTGATACTTCATTTTTTATCCCTTAGTCAGACCCGTGAAAATCCAGAACAAGACAAAGAAAGAAGGAACTGAACACGTTTATTATCACTCAAATTGATGATGTCACATGCGAAAAAGTCATGGACATATTTAGGTTTCGACTGAACAACCCTTTAGATTGGCAATGAATGGAGCGCGATTATGAAACAAGATCTACAAGCGATTCTCTGTAAATATGAATTTCTAAAGGTGGGATGATTGAAAGTGTGTTACATTTTCTGACATTTTTAGATCGAATGTTCGAGTGACAGTGATTACATAATTTTGCTAGTGTAGTGATAATGTAAAAGATATACAGGGGATTAACGAAAGTTGATTGATGTTCATGCATCCAGGTTAAGATGGAAACTGTAGGCAAAACTGGTAATATCGCTTGTGATTCCTCGTCATTGGTTGATTTCAGTTGAATGGATAGGTGACTGTTGACATACTACCTCCTACATGGATGCCTCGTTATCGTCAGTCACACGATTGAAAATGTTGTTGTCAGGAGAGGTGAAAATTGTGATTAGTTGAGCTACTAGTATGGAGGGCTGATATATAGAGTCTGCTCGTTCGAATCTCTTCACGACCCAAATCTTCATTCCACCCATCAACCAGCATCAACAACACTAGTTTGCTGAACTGTAGCTATTTCAGATAATCTCATTAATATTTGAAGAAAATTTATGTGTGGAGGGAGATAATTATGATTTTGTCTATGTGGCTGCATTTTTGAGTAGGTGGCATAACTCTGTACCTTATTCCTTGAAGGTGACACAATGGAATCTCGTAGATAAGAAGCAAGAGAGAGATTGTCTGAAGAGTGTAGATATGTCTCTTACTGATGTGGGATAGCAAAACTGTCGCCTAGTTTTTGCATTGTCTTAGGATGTCCAGCTGTTAACTAGTAAATACTATGTACTATATATGGTGCTGAGTTGTAAAGCTTAGGAACTGAGTAATGTTAAACAAATGGATAGATTGTGACCGGCGTTTAATAGCCAACTATGGACGGCAATGATTGACAGTCAGTCAATCAGTCAGTAATCTGCATATTTCTTTGAGTGCTCGACGTGTAGTGTAATGAGTTGTCTGAACTTTAATGGTGCCAATCAACAGATCTCAACGTTATGTGTTTAAATACTGGTGTTGCCTGTGTGAAACTCCATGATTGTTCAGTATCCAATTGTTGAGAGATATCAGATAAGTGTCTGAAGGTGATTGAATAATACAACTGTATTATTCTAACCACTACTTCACTGTACTAACTGATTGAATGATCACGTCAGTTTGTTTGCTGTTGACAGATTTTCAGCTGGTGCAAACCACCTTATTGATACTCTCCAGTTTATAAAATTGTGAAGAGTAAGACAAATTGGCTAGTTGACTGTTAGTCACACACACACACAGGGTATATACACTGTCTTGATGTATGAAATGGGATGAATGAAGCTATGTGGTTTGGTGAATGAATTAACCTTGGAAACTGTTCTCATCATGAATAGATACTATGATTATTGTTTAAACAATGATTGAGCAGTTATATGGATGGAAATACTTCTAGTATAATCAACTTTACTGCATTAGAAATTGGCTGATTGTTGATTAGTTTCCAGCATCTGAGAAGGGATTTATGAGGTTGTTGAAGACAGACATGACATCTTATGATGGTTTAATCTAGAGTGTACTGAAAGAGTTCAGCTAATCTTCTTATCGAATTGACAACGAATCGATGACCATTTGACTTTTAAGGTACATAAGCTGATAACTCAAAAGTTGTGAAAATCAATAAGTGTTATCATGAACATTATTTTTCCTCAGTCGTAAATTCACCGACAAAAAGCGCCGCATAACTAGCCTCACATTGATGGTGGAAAAGTGAAAATTTGTATTGTTATGATGGATGGAATAAATGAAGTTGAGAATGTCAGGTGAGTAGTATTGGTTTTACTATTTTATGCATTTTAAAAGACAGTGTTGAATAACAGTACTGTATAGCTGAACTGAAGAGGTTTGTGGAGACCAGCAATCCGATTTCTATGATTTGCATACGTTGTAGGCATTTACTTCAGAGTACGAAGAACAATGAAGACATCACTCATCGGTCTTCATCTTCCATGATATTGTGGAGGGAAGATGAAGACTACTGGTTAACAGGATGCGAATATCTCATCTCATCTCATCTTGTGTTGATTCCCTGTAGTGACTGACACTTGTATGAGAGAAGCCTAGAGAAAATGCAGTGATATTCAGACGGTTATGCATATATATAAAGAATCAGAACCACATGATAGTGTCAGAGTTATGTGCTTAGCAGTTAACATTTCGAGCACGTGATCTAGGTCATCCCAGTTTACCCTAACCCTAGCCATGGGAACAAAAGTTTATTTGCCGACAGTGACCTTGTTTCACAGTTTGCTCACTCTACCTGATCAATATGTGATAGAGGGAATGACAGTAAATATGTGATGACCTGATTTTGCATCAACTATCCAGTTGAAGTATGCAAACTTCAGTGGAGTATAGTGTTTGTGTCAGATTCTGCTTTCATGCCTATTCATTCTCAGTTGCATAGTCATCTATTGCAGTTGACTGTGTATTCGACGTGCACTTCAACTGTAGTCAACATTATCCTGACTTGGTTGAATTTGAATCCCAGTGTATTCGGTACCATCATTTTACTATACTTACCAGTGAAACTTTAAGATTCCTAGTAATCTCATATTGGCTGTTTCGTCATCACACTGCCCATTACTTGCAAGTATTGTGGCTGTGAAGAAGTTATTGACAACACACATGTTAAGTGAAATAATCAGTGATTGTGGTTATTTCCGACGTTCAGTCAGTGGACCTTTATTATTGGTTGGAGATATTTTCCAGCCTTTTGGTGGATGAGGTGAGATGAGAAACTGAGGAAGGAAATCAGTCAATGAATATCATCGTTGTATGTGCCACTGTTGCTTGGCTGTCTCAGTTGGCGATTCTCACATCATCATGTCAAACTAGTAGGGACTATGACAGAGGAATGAGGAGGAAAGTGATGAGAAGTAGTGTAAGTTGTAGGGAAGAGTGTAGTGATTCAGTAGTAAACCAACACAGAAATTGAGTGTGACTATTAATATGAAGTTAATGTAAGGATGTATGTGTGCCAGTCAAATCTATTCTGAACTGTTCTAACTGGAGTTTCCGACCAGAGACTTCGATTTTCACATGGACCTCAACAGAGACGTCTACATTTCTCTTAGACAGTTAGTTCGTTCTGAGGCGTAGGTGGCCTTGTTGTTGAGAGTGAAGTGTATTTGTAGAGTGAAGCTACATTCTTATTGGACTGTGAATCACTGTAGGATAATTCGTGGGAAATCAGACTTGTTTTTAATTCGACATGTTTTCCTATGAAGTATTTTCAACAAAATGAAGTGTACTGAATGAATTCAGATGTGCAGTTTGTGGTGATCACGTAGTACTGTGTGGTTGGAAGTGTGTATCAAAATAATTTATTCCTTCATATCGAATTTATGTAAGTATCCATGTCTCTGTGGGAATATACTAAACTATGATTGGTAATGATAATGAAAATGAGGGGTGAGAAAGTAGTATGGAATCAGGTGTGGTAAGCGTAAATTCAGATGTTTAGATGTCCGTTCATTCATTCTAGGAATTTACATGTACAGCTACAAATTGGCGTATTCGAGAAGATTTGTAACTCAGTATGTAGACGATGATTATTTGATGTTCTCTGAGCTATGAGGTTTGCTCTTGGACGTTTCGTCACCAGTCTAGGTGACTTCATCAACATTGGCTTGATATGAAGTAAAGGTTGATAAAGTGGTCTAGTTTGGTGGTGGAAAATTGAGGAAGAAATATTCTCTTTGAACAATTTGACCAGCCATCTACGTTGCAGGGCATTTCTCAAATGAGATGGGAAAATAGACTGAGGTATAACAAATGAATGAGGTAAGCATCATCAAGAAATATTTAAATTGCAGATAAGTGGTTTTAGAATATACAAAGGCGGTTTAAAATTTGGGTGGCTAAGACTGGAACAAGCCA